TGCAGTAATTTATAAATGTTTTAAATCAGGTTGGGTCCAGATTAGCCAGCAGGTGGGTCCGCTAATCCGTGACCTCTGGTTGTTGGAGATCCACCGAGGACCCATCAAGGAAAGTGGGGAAAATTTGAATTGCTACTACTGAACACATCCTGTTACTGGAACGCCATGCAGCACACTGCCACTTCCTGCCGTCGGCTGACTGTTAACTGCTCACCTCGGGGAATTTCGGGTGCATTTTGTTGATGGCGTGAGAAGCAGCGTTGACAGCGTGAGCCAGCTCCTGCTCTAAAAGCCCGTTGGTTTTTGCGGCTTCGCATATCCTGTGGTCAGAAGGAGAGAACACTTAGTGAGCGGGTTCAGGGCGGGACTCAGATGTTTTCCATCATGACTTTTACCTCGTGATGAGTTCTTCCGCAGCACGGGCGCACATTTGCATGATGGCGTTCTCCTCCTCCGTGGCCAGATCCACAGACTGCTGTGGGTAGAGGTGGGGCCGTAGGGGGGGCTTGTCGTACTTCAGCTTGTCCTCCCATGACTTTAATGTGTTCTCAAACGCCTGCAGGAAAGAGTTCAGTGTAAGGCTGAAGCTAAAACATCCACATCATCCGCGGTATCTTCCTCACCCGGTCCCTCGTCAGCATCTGCGCTCTGTTCTTGTGCTGGATCTTGATGACGCCAGGCGGCTGGATCCAGGCCTCCCCGTCCACCTGGATGGGGACACCTTCATCTCCCAGGATGGTGATCTTCACCGTCCGACACTGAATCAGAAGGACTGAAATCAGGATTGTTCCTGCATTTTTACTTCCTGCTGCTGTGGGTGCTGCTGCTCACCTGCGCTATGCGGTGATGCTGCAGCTTGATGACTCTGGATACGGCCATCTGCATGCTCCCGAACACAGCCACCACCTCCAGGATCTTATCATCAAACGATGGAGCACAGAAGATCTGCAGCAGGACCGGATATCACAGACATTTATAGGGTTCTCTCATGCAGACTGCATCACTGCGGTGGTTTACAACTAACATACAAAGTCAGACTGTTTTGTTTTTGAAGTCGTATCACTTAAAGCACTAAAGCTGCAAAAAGACTAAATGTTTAGACTTTAGTCTAAACTTCTGACTCAAGCCAGAGGATCATTTATAAACAAAGGTATTAATCAGCAGTTTTCAAACAACTTCGTTGACAAAAAC